AGTAGATAGGAGCCAGATCGGACAATGCCTTTTGGGTTACGATAAAGATATTCAACCTGCACCATGGTTTTGAGTAGAGAAGTAACAGATTTACTTTTTTTATTTTATTTTAAGGTTTACATCTTTATAGCATTACTCTGCCTGGCATATGGAGAATGGATTGAAGAGAGGGAGGAATAGATGTAGGTGGGAGAGGAAAGAGGTTATTGTTTTATTGTTGGAGTATAGGGGAGAGAGATAATACCTGTATACTGGTCAGTTTTGAGCATGACAGAAGGTAGAATCAATGGGCTTAAAGGTGGGTTAGATGTGCCAAGTTAAGGGGAGGCAGGGATCAGAGACTGAGAAATTTCTGGCATGAGAAATTCAATAGATAATGGTGACATTTATCAGGGGGAGAAAGCCTGTAAGAATTTAAAGGGACTGTGAATTCCATTTTGGATGCTGACTGAAAGGTACATATGAGATGCTCAGGTGAAGATGCAGATAGGTGGATAGATGGGTCTGGTACTCAGAAGAATGGTCTGGGCTGGAAATATAAATTTAGAACTATGTATTTAGAATAGATATGTAAATTAAAGTCAGGGATTTGGACAAGATCACTTAGGGGAAAATAATTGTATTAGAAGAGGGCCTAGCTCTGAGAACTGAGGAAACTCACCATTTTAAATGGGAGGGGAGGAGATATGAAAACTGCTGAGATGCAGGTGTGTGGCAGCAAACTCCAATGATCCCCATCTTCTGGTATTCATGTCCTTATGTGGTCTCCTCCCACATGGAATTTAGCTAATTTCACCTATGTAGATAATATATTTTAGAAATGACGGTGCATGGCCAAGGTTATGGGCATAAAACCTTTTGAGATCTCAGAGAAACATGTAGTAGTGCCTCTAAGAGCTGAACTGATAATAAGAATCTTAAGGAGCAGAAACCCAAAATAGAGAAGGACTTATATCAAAGAAATTTGTGGGCATAGCTTTTATTCTATTGGAGACAACTGCAAATAAGACTCAGAGGAAGACATAGTGTTCAAAATAATTTTATTCACAGTAACACTATCATCTTGAAGTGAAAGAGATACAGTACAAAATCTAAAGATGCTTTTGGACACCCTCCCCTCCATCCCTAATTTCTCCTGGGTGGGAGCAGAATGAGAAAACTATGTAGCTGTAAAAATGGGCTACTTTTCATAGAAAAGGATGACTCAGAGGGTGGAGCCAGGGCCAAGACTCTAAGGTGGCCCTCAACATTCCCCATCTTCTGCATTTACATCACTGGGTAATTTCCACACAGTGAATAGTATTCATCTATGTAACCAGTACATTGGGGAGTGACTGTGTGTGATTTTTCAGGATAAGTCATGAATGACATTGCAGCTCCTATCTGGCTCTCTTGGATTACCTGCTCTGAGGGAAACCAGTTGCCATGTCATGAGGACATTCAAGCAATCTTATAGAGATGCCCACATGGTGTGGAACTGAGGTTTCCTGCCAACAGTCATGTGGATGGACCATCCTGGAAGTGGATACTCTAGCGTTAGTAAATCATGCAGACGACTGCAGTGCCATCCAATACAATGAGATTACTCTCATGAGAGATTATAAGCAAGAGTTGGCATACCCAAATACCTTACCCAAAGAAACTAGAAGGCATTGTTTGTTGCTTTAAGATGATACTAGAAGCCCAGTGCACAAAATTCGTGCATGGGGGTGTGTGTCCCTCAGCCCAGACTGCACCCTCTCCAACCTGGGATCCTTCTAGGGATGTCCAACTGCCATTTAGGCTTGATCAATCGGGCCTAACTGGATTGGATCTAAATGGGCAGTTGGACATCCCTTTAACAATGCAGGACTGTTGGCTCCCAACTGCTTGTTTGCCTTTCTGATCGCCCCCCTAATCGCTTCTGCCTGCCAGCCTGATCACCCCCTAACCACTCCACTGCCAGCCTGATTGATGCCTAACTGCTCCCCTGCCAGCCTGTTTGCCCCTAATTGCCCTCCCCTGCTGCCCTCGTCACTCCTAACTGCCCTCCGCTGCAGGCCTGGTCACACCTAACTGCCCTCCCTTGCAGGCCTGGGTCCCCCCAAACTGCTCTCCCCTGCAGGCCTGGGTCTACCACAATTGTCCTTCCCTGCAGGCCCAGTCACCCCCAACTTCCTCCCCTCTGCCACATGGTTACTAATTTCCCCCCTAACTGCCCTCCCCTGCAGGCTTGATCACCCCAACTGCCCTCCCTTGCAGGCCTGGTCCCTCCCAACTGCCCTTCTTTGCTGTCCATCTTGTGGTGGTCATCTTGTATCCACATGGGGGCAGCCATCTTGTGTGTTGGAGTGACAGTCAATTTGCATATTATTCTTTTATTAGATAGGATAGAGGCCTGGTGCACAGGTGGGGGCCAGCTGATTTACCCTGAAGGGTGTCCCAGATCAGGGTGGGGATTCACTTGGAATATGAGGTGGTCTGGATGAGGGACCTGTTGTGGTTTGCAGGCCAGCCACACTGCCCAGCAACCCAAGTGGAGGCCCTGGTATATGGGACTTATTTATTTTCTATGATTGAAACTTTGCAGCCTTGAGCGCAGGCTTAGGTCAGCCAGGAACCTTGGCTTCCTCCATTATTGGGGGCAACTCATGCCTCCTGCCCTCTCCACCACCGTGGCTGCAGCCATTTTTGTTGGGATTTATTTATCTTCTATAATTGAAACTTTGAAGCCTTGAGTGGAGGCCTGGGCTTGCCAGGGTGTGCAGAAAGCTTACCTTCCTTCATTGCTGAGAAAGCCTCCTGCTCTTTCCGTGGCTGCAGCCATCTTGGTTGGGTTAATTTGCATACCTGCTCCGGATTGGCTGGTGGGTGTGGCTTGTGGGTGTAGTGGAGGTATGTCAATTTGCATATTACTCTTTTATTAGATAGGATGTCTTAGGATAATTTATTATGTAGCACTAGATCATTAATACAAGGAGAAAGACCAGAAGAGTGTGAGTTTGTGGAAAGTAAATAAACTATGTTTCAAGGATAGAGTAGATAACTATGTCAAATATGTGAAAAGGCCAAATGTCTCATACCTGGATGACAATAAAGTCCACATATCAATTCTGAATTTCATTTAGATTTATTGAGTGTGGGAACAAAACAAAAACATTTTAAAAACAAGCGAAACCCCATTATGCTCCATATACTTGGCTTGAGCAAACTGAGAAATATCTATCAATCTTTTGAAAGATTTCATTTAAAAACATGCTTTGAAAGTCTGTGACACCTCTCAATGGCAATGAACAAATGGTTTACTGTACTTATCTGGTCTCCCAGTGACCTTCTCATATGTTCACACCATGTCATTACTAGACTGTAAGACTGTGAAGGGCAACCTGCTTCATAGCACCTAGAGATATAGCTATACCTAGGTACTCATGCACGTTACCATGGGACTAAAAAGCAAAAGCATCTCAGAAAACTCCAAAAATATTTTACCAAAAACAACCTTTGCTACCACAGTTATGTTGCAATTGATGTACTAAAATTATTTTTACCACATCTTATTTTATGCTCACAACAAACCCTATGAGGTAGTTAGGTGGGTTTATAGAAAGATGGTTATAAACTTGATTATAAATGATCATACATCATTCCCATTTACCAAATGAGAAAACTAAGACATAAGAGGCTTCAGTTACTTGGTTAAGATCACATAAAATATTTATAATTGCAGGCCTTCTGGTATGAGGTTGAACACTTTATCCAAAACATCCAGGCAGCACTCACCAGGAACTGTTTATCTAGCATTCTTCTTCTACAAATACTCTCAGGACAACTCTAACATTATTTTCCACAAAAATCTATGTTTTCTAATATTTTAATACTGCTTTTTCTGTAGCTTGAACTATGGAATAGGTAAGACTCTCTATCTTTCTACTTTGGCTCTTATGCCATGGTACAACTTTAGTATCTTCCAATGAAGTCCCCATGGGTGGCTAGACAATGCCGCCATTGTTTAAAACATTCCTCATTGGAAATTGCCTTCAGAGAACTAAAAATTCTTTCCAATAAGAAAACCAATCTATTAGTTATCCTTTCTTTTTTATTATAAATGGCATCATTAGCTTACTCATCTTCCTTAATCATCAGATTTTTAGCTGCTTCCTAAACTTCAAGCTGTTCTCAGAGTTCAAACACATTTGTACAGACTCTGAGGGCATTCCAGAAAGGTTAGTAGCAACAACACCTTTTCAACAGAATACCCTGAGTAAGAAAACCCTCATAAGGAATGTATAGTAACACTATTAAAAATAATGCCTTAACTTTGTTGAGTGGAACTTTATATCCTGTGACTAATTTAATCCTCAAAAGAATCTTAGGAGGTGAGATAAAAGCCTATTAATTTAAACATCAAACATTAGCACATAGTCACGCAGCTGTAATGTGCTTATGTCACAACAGGCAAAGACTAATTTCCAAAACATATGGTATGAATAGCTAATGCCTTCCCTACAAACACCCACCATCTCCCCAGAGTGTTGGTCTTTAGGGATCTGGCCCAATTTGGTGTTTTTCATACATCTTAAGCCTGTTAGCAGTTTGTCATTCCTGTATCAGCGTGCATTTTAGTTCCTTTTAAGTAGAATCAGAGTGTATGGAATGAAAATAAGTACAATTTTGGCTTCTGACAAATTTAGGTAAGGCATTTATTATCTAAATAAGTTTAGCTCCATGGCTCCAAAATGACTACTACTGCATCTATCTAAAGAGGGAGGACACACACACACACACACACACACACACACACACAACCAATTTTCCAAGTTTATCTGCTTCTTTTTTCTCCCATCAGGATTAGTACAAGGAGGGAAGAAATTAAGACTTATTCTAATAATCTATTCTTAAGTAGCAATTTGAAGAACCAAAATTTGACACCAGATATCTATACTGATCCATCTATATTTAAGAAGTCCTCCTTTGAAAGCATCTCAGCAAGTGTGGTCAGCTCCTTATTTTTAACTCATCCTTCACAGTGACAAACCCACAAAGGAAAGCAACATAGAAGCTGCTACAACCAAGAGTAAGACCAACACCCCAACCCAAATAAGACTCTCAGAGTCACGATTCCCAGGACTTCTTCCATGTCCACGGGCTTTAAACCATTCTACTATTTCCTGGAGGTCAAATGGCTGAGGCTCATAACCTAGCTCCTTTTTGGCCTTCTCTAGGCTAAAGTAATGTGTGATGCTAGTTTTATTAACTTCTGTGCGGGTGAGGAAAGGCTGGAAGTTGTAGAGTTGACCCAAAACAAAGTAAGCCATCTCTGTTAGGAAAGCAAAACAGTAGATGAGCTTCATGGGTAGGCGAATGGATGGGAATGAGTAGCCCAGGCCCTCAACCAAAGGCCGGAAGAACTCAAAGTTGTTTATGGGTATGCCATCTGAGATGAAGTAGGGCTTTCCAGATGCAATGTAGCCCTTGTTAGCTTTCAGGGCCTCTGAGGCCAGAATGTGAGCCTGCACCAAGTTATCCACATGGACAAATTCAACCAGGCTCTTGGGATCCCCGAACACAAACTTGAATAGACCCCTCTCAATATAGCTCACTACTCTAGGAAGGTGCCTTTGTTCTCCAGGTCCATAAATGCCAGCTGACCTCAGAGCACAAGTTCTTAAGACACCATTGCTTTTTTCCAGGGATGTACCATTGGCTTCTAGCACCTTCTTTTCTGCAATAGATTTGGTCCGAGAATAGTGATCAGGATGGAGGTGAAGAGGAACGTAAGGGAGAGATTCATCTCCATTTTTGATAACTTGACCTCCAAACACAACATTGAAAGTGCTAGTGTAAACTAAACTTGGCACCCCTCTCCTCCAGCAAGCCTGGAGGATGTTTTCTGTGCCCCTGACATTGACTTCTTCGATCAGCTTTCGATTTAGTTGTTCCCGCCCTGACATACCATAAGAGGCAATATGGAACACACAAGTTATGTCCACATCCTGGAAGGCTTTCTCTATATCAGAGAGGTGGCGGATGTCTCCGTGTATAAACTTGATTCCTTCTGGAATGGTCTGAGTAGGGCTGCTGATATCTAACAGAATCACATGGGCTCCCTTCTTGTTCAGAGCACAGCCCAGGCTGAAATAATAAAGAGTAAAAATTAGATCAAATCACTTATTAAGCTATGCCTAGGAAAAGTGTGTAAAATAATTTACCAAGACTTCTTGACTCAACCTGAATCCTACACCTTACACGTTCACTGGGGCAAGTCATATGCAAATATTTTAAAAATGAGAATACTCACATCTACTTAAATTATAATGAGATGGTGGCATCTACATGCTACATCTCTCCCATCCCCCATCCCATGTTCTAGGATCTACCATCCATTCTTGGGAATATTTATGAATAATAACTGAAACAATTGCTATTATTAATTTTTTTAAATTTACTTTTAGAGATAGTGGATGAATGAAAAGAGAGATAGAAACATTGATGAGAGAAAAACATTGATCAGCTGCCTATGTGCCCTCTACTGGGGATCAAGCCCGAAACCAGGTATGTGCCCTGACCAGCAATGAAACGAGCCACCTCTTTTTAAAAAAAATATATTTTATTGACTTTTTACAGAGAGGAAGAGAGAGGGATAGAGAGAAACATCGATGAGAGAGAATCATCGATAAGTTGCCTCTTGCACGCCCCCTACTGGGGATGTGCCCACAACCAAGGTACATGTCCTTGACTGGAATCAAACCCGGGACCTTTCAGTCTGCAGGTTGATGCTCTATCCATTGAGCCAAACCGGTTTTGGCGGAACCAGCCACCTCTTGATGCATGAGTTGACACTCAACCACTGAGAAGTACCAACTAGGAAAGAATTGCTATTATTTAAAATTGTTTAGTGATGTGAATATCTCCCTTTCACAATTTAATGGTTTTATAAAAGTATTTTCTTGACAAAATGGACAATATGTGGATGATAGTGCTTAGAGGATTCCAAACTGGCAGCAGCGTAAGTGGAAGCCACATTGACACTCTCCCAAACTGGAGATACAACTAAAATACAGAAAAAAGAAAAAACCACTCTGAAAAACCAACTGGAGACTAGCTGGACAGAACCTTATAAGCAAGGACGGAAAGTGGAGACCTCATAGATTGATAGGAAGTGCAGAGGCATGAAAGAACTAACCAAGTTCCCACAGATAGAAGCTGAAATTCCAAGGGGGAAGGGACAGATATCTCAGCTGTGGGGGGATTCCCATTCAGAATTCTGGGGTCTAAACACCAAGTTGGGCTCCCCAAGCCAGAGCACCAGAACTGAGAAAGATGCCCACATAACATCTGGATGTGAAAAGTAGCTGGGTTGCTTGAAATGCAGGCATCCTCTTAAAGGGCAGAAACCAGGACTAAGGGCTCTGAGGTTGGAGCTTGGAGGGCAGCCACCCTAGTTTCCTGTGCTGAGTTATCCCCTCACACTGTAAAGGACATCTTTTCCTGGTGGACCTTTGTTATCCAGAGATTTTCACCTGAGGGGAAGGCAGTTACCCCATCCTATTGGAAGACCTTTCACTCACTTTATGTCGATAGCCTACAGCTAGTTAAGACAGGGTCAATGGGATTGCAGGCAGAGGTGGGTCTCTGGAGGTTTTGAGTATTTGCCTGACCTAATCCTAGGCCCAGGGATAAGAAAAGCAGACTCTGATGCACATCTTTGTCCTTCCCAAAAAGACCCAGCCCCAGCAGAGAGAGGCAAAAGCTGTGGATTAATGATACCTCCAAACAGGGTATCAGAGCCAGTCACAAACAGCATCTGACATTGTCCTGCATTAGAGATTGAAAGTCATAGTAAATCTAACTAATACACAGACACAAACCCAAACAGGAAGCCCAAATGGGGAGACAAAAGAACAAACCCCAAATGAAAGAATGAGAGAATTATCCAGAGAAAGAGCTAAATGAAATGGAGATAAGAAATTTCTAAGACATAGAGTTGAGAATAATGATGATAAAGATGCTTAAGAGCATGAGAAAAGATACAGTAACTATGAAGAATGACATAGCACTAATAAAGAACACAGTGGAAGGAATACACAGCAGAGTAAGGGAAGCCAAGGATCAGATCAGTGAATTAGAAGACTGGGTAGAAAAAAATCACTCAACCAGAGAACAAAAAAGAAAAAAACAACTAAAAAACAAACAACAAAACAAAACAAACAAACAAAAAACACCAGAAGGATGGCTTAAGGGTGCTGTGGGACAACATGAAATGTAACCATATTCACATAATATATATGCCAGAAAGGGAACAAGGGATAGATAACATCTTTAAAGAAATAATAGTAGGAAACTTCCCTAACCTGGTGAAGCAAAAAGTCACACAAGTTCAGGAAGCACAGAAAGTCCCAAACTGTAAGAACCCAAAAATGCCCATGCCCAAACAAATCATAATTAAAATGCCAAAAATTAAAGACAAAGAGAGAATCGTAAAGACAGCAAGAGAAAAGCAATTTATTACCTAAAAGGAGCTCCCATAAAGCTACCAAATGATTTTTTATCAGAATTCTACAGGCCAGAAAGAAATAGCATGAATCATTCAAGGTAATGAAAAGCAAGGATCTTAAACCAAGATTACTATATCCAGCAAGGCTATTATTTAAAATAAATGGTAAAATAAAGAGCTTCCTAGACCTGCCCTCCTCGCCCTGCCCCCCCCCCCCAAAAAAAGGCTAAAGGATTTTATTACTGCTGAATCGCAGTGCAAGAAATGCTAAAGAGACTGCTGTAATGAGAAGAAGAAATAGACAGAAACATAGGCATAAATAGTTAAAATGGCAATAAATAAGTACTTATCAATAACTTTAAATATAAATGGATTAAAGGCTCCAATTAAAAATAGGATAGTTGAATAAATATGACAACATGACCCAATTATATGCTGCCTACAAGAGACTCACCTCAGAACAAAAGACTCATACAGGATAAGAGTGAAGGAAAGAAAAAAATTTTCCATGCTAAATAGCATGTTATTAAACAATGAATGGGTTACCAATGAGATCAAGAAAGAAATAAAAAACTTACTGAAAATAAATAAAAATGAACACATAACAAAACAAAATCTATGGGTCAAAATGAAAGCAGTCCTGAGAGGAAAGTTCATAGCACTACCAGCCTACCTAAAAAATAAGAATAGTTAGTAATAGACTATTTAACCCTACAACTTAAAGAATTAGAAAGAAAACAACAATAAAATAATAATGATTAGAGCATAAATAAATGACATAGACAGACAAAAAATAATATAAAAGATGAATGAAACCAAGAGCTGGTTCTTTGAAAAGATAAACAAAACTGATGAACTGTTAGCCAGACTCATCAAGAAATAAAAGGAGAGGATCCAAATAGATAAAATCAGAAACAGCAGTGGATATCTAACAATTGACACCACAGAAAGGCAAAGGATCATAAGAAAATACTATGAACCACTATATGCCAACAAGCTGGACAATGTGAATGAAATGGACAAATTCCTAGAAAAATTTTATCTTCAAAAACTGAATCAGAAAGAATAGAAAACCTGAAAAGGCCAATGACAACTGATGAAATAGAAGCAGTCATTAAAAAACTCCCAGCAAACAAAAGCCCAGATCCTAATGGTTTCACATGGGAGTTTTATCTAACATCCAAAGCAGAATTAACACCTATATTCCTCAAACTATTTCAAAAAATCCAAGAACACTTTCAAGCTCTTTTTATGAGTCCAGCAGTATCCCAATTCCAAAACCAGACAAATACACTGCAAAGAAAATCACAGGCAAATATCCCTGATAAACACAGATGCTAAAATCCTCAACAAAATCTTAGCAAACCAGATCCAGCAATTTATTAAAAAGATCACATACCATGACCAAATGGGATTTATTTCAGGGATGCAAAGCTGGTACAATATTTGCAAATCAATAAATGTGATACATCACATAAATAATCTGAAAGATAAAAATCACATGATCATATCAATAGACAAAGAAAAAGCATTCAACTAAATCCAACACTCATTTTTGATAAAAACTCTTAGCAAAATGGGAATAGAGGTATTACACCTCAACATAATAAAGGCCATATATGACAAACCTACAACCAAAATCATACTCAATGGGCAAAAACTAAAACCTACTCTACTAAAACACTACTAGATTTAATAAATGAATTTGGCAATGTAACAGGATACAAAATCAACACCCAAAAAAATCAATGGCATTTTAATACTCCAATAATGAATTATCAGAAAGAGAAACTACACAGACAATAATCCCATTTACCATCACAACAACAAAAATTAAGATATTCAGGAACAAACTTAAAAGAATTGTACTCAGAAAACTATAAGACGTTGAAAAAAGAGATAGAAAAAGATATAAACAAAGGAAGAATATGCTGTGTTTACGCACTGGTAGAATTAACATCAATAAAATATTCATACTACTCAAAGCAATCTACAGATTCAATGCAATCCCTATTAAACTACCAACAGCACATTTCACAGATCTAGAACAAATACTCCAAAAATTTATATGGAACCAAAGAAAGACCCAAATAGCCACAGCAATCTTGAGAAAGAACAAAGTTGGAGGGATAATATTACCAGATATCAACTTATACTACAAAACCACCATAATCTAAACAGCCTAGTACATACACAGGCATATAAATCAATGGAACAGAACAGAGAACCCAGAAATTAACCCAAGGCATTACACTCAATATTTTAGAAAGGAGGCAAGAGTATACAATGGAGTCAAGACAATCTCTTCAATAAATGGTGTTGGGAAAATTGGACAGATACACCCAAAAAATGACAACCAACTTACACTATACACAAGAATAAACTCAAAATGGATAAAAGACTTAAATATAAGTCATGAAACCATAAAAATCATAGAAGAAACCATAGGCAGAAAAATCTCAGACATCTCTCATTTCAATATGGTTATAGATACATACCCTAGGGCAAAGGAAACTAAGGAGGAGAAAAACAAATGGGACTACATGAAAATAAAAAGCTTCTGAACAGCAAAATAAACCATCAACAAAACAAAAAGGGAGCCCATTGCATGGAAGAACATATCTGGCAATGATACAACTAATAAAGGGTTAATATCCCAAAATATATAAGGAATTCATACAACTTAACAAAAGGAAAGCAAACAATTCAATTAAAAAAAATGGGCAAAGTGACTAAATAGACACTTCTCCAAAGCAGACATATAGATGGCCAAGAGAGATATGAAAAAATGCTCAGTCACTGATCACCAAAGAGATGCAAATTAAAATGACAAGTATCATCTCATACCTGTCAGAGCAGCTACCATCAGCAAATAAACAAAGGACAATGCTGGTGAGAATGTGGAGAAAAGGGAACCCTAGTACACACTGTTGGTGGGATGCAGACTGGTACAACCATTATGGAAAACAGTTTGGAGTTTCCTCAAAAAATTAAATATGGAACTGCCATTGGACCCAGTGATCCCACTTCTAGGAATATGTCCTAGGAGACCTGAAACACCAATTAGAAAGAATGTATGCACCCCTATGATCATAGCAGCACAATTATAATAGCTAAGATCTGGAAATAACCCAAGCACCCATCAGTACATAAGTGGATAAAAAAAAGCTGTGGTACATTTACACTATGGAATAATACTATGCAGCAGTGACAAAGAAGGATCTCTTAACCTTTGAGACAGGATGAAGGATCCTAGAGAATACTATGCTAAATGAAATAAGTCAGTCAGGGAAAGACAAGAATCACATGATCTCACTCATATGTAGAATCTATTGAACAAAATAAACTGATGAACAAAATAGATCCAGAGACACAGAACAGAGTGTGGCATTTCAGAGGAAGGCAAAGGTGGGTGGGTGGGTGGGAAGAGATTAGCCAAAGAACTTGTAAGCATATAGGCATAACCCATGGACACAGACAATAGGGTGGTGAAGGCCTGGGGCAGGAGGCGAGGATGGGCTACAATGGGTTAATGGCGGGGGGGGGGGGGGGGGGGAAGGGCAGGGGTAGGGGGAGAGGAACATACGTAATACTTTCAGCAATAAAGATTTCATTTAAAAATAATTTTTCTTAACTGGGAATATATCTATATCTCTCAATTTTAGTATCTGAGTAGAGGGCAAAATAGTTCATTCCTGGCTTAACACTATACAAAGAAGTAAAAGTATATACTGTATTAATGTCAGAGCTGAGAGCTATACTTTTTATCAGCAACCACCAGTAAAATAATTCATAGACATATTTTACAGATGCACTGACCGGAAACCAAAATAGCCACCTCCTCCTGTAATGAGGACAGTTTCCTTCGGAGATTTTTGGGAGTCCATATGTGGCAATAAAACGAAAACTGGACCTATAAGAAAGAAGTATGCAACACTGTTACTGATCCAAATGCAAATACGATTGTCCCTAATTTGGGGCTAACAAAAACAAAAAGGCAGTATGCTCTAGTAGAAAGAAAAGCTAAGACCTAGGTTCTAGTTATGGCTGTGTGAAGTTAGCCAATTCTTTCTCCCTTCATTCCTTGTGCTTCAAATTTCTTCCTATGCAATATAAGGACAGAAACATCTTCCCTGTCTGCCCGACAAGGTCAATGTGAAGGTTCAATAATATAATTTCCTGGGAGTGCTTTGGAAACTGCAATACTTTTCCAAATGTAAGGCATTATTCTTAATCATTGGGAAAAAATTAGAGCCTTTTTGGAAAGAACTCATTCAAATTAGGCAGGGAGAACCATTTTCTCCCATGTACCAGAAAAAGCAAGAAAAGAACTCTAGCCCTAGCTACTATGCTTAGTGGTTAGAGCATTTACCTGCAGACTGAAGTGCCTTAGATTCAATTCTGGTCTAGGACACATAATTCAATTGCAGATTCAGTTCCTGGTCCCAGTTGGGGCACATGCATGAGGCAAACAATTGGTATGTCTCTCTCACAACGATGTTTCTCTCTTTGTGTCTCTCTCCCTCCCTTCCATTCTTTCCAAAAAGTTCAATGGAAAAAATATCCTTAGGTGAGGATTCAAAACAAAAACCACCCCCTACACACAAAAGAAGTTTAAAGCCAATTTCTAACATCTTTTATTTAAAACGTGAGGCCCAGTGCATGAGTTCGTGCACAGGTGGGGTTCCTTGGCCTGGCTGATGATCAGGGCCAATCAGGATCTGTCTCGCCCAGTCCTGATCAGGCTGATCATGGGCTGGGAGGTTGGCCGGCAGGTGGGAGGGACCACAGGAGTTTGGTTGGCCACAGGAGGTTGGCTATGGAGTGCACTGACCACCAGAGGGCAGCTCCTGAGTTGAGCATCTGCTCCCTGGTGGTCAGGACACATCATAGTGATTGGTCAACTGGTCATTCTATTGACTGGTCATAAAGGTGGCTTAGGTTTTTATATATAGAGATAGCACACATGGCCCTAGCTGGTTGGCTCAGTGGATAAAGCATCAGCCTGAGGACTGAAAGGTCCTGAGCTCTATTCTAGTTGAGGGCATGTAATCTGGTTGCAGGCTCCTCCTGAGCCCGGGCCTTGGTTGGGGTGCATGCAGGAGGCAACCAATCAATGTATTTCTCTCACATTGATATTTCTTTCTTTCTCTGTCTCTTACACTCTCTCTAAAAATATCAATATAAAACTATCCACTGTTGAGGCTTAAAAAATAAAATAAAATAATAAAATAAAATAAAATAAAAATGAAATAGCATACTTGGAAAGAACCAAGATAGTAGTGTAGGTAAATGCTGGTATTGCAACCTCCCACAACCACATCAAAATTACAACTAAAATACAGAAGAACCATCATTTAGAGCCACCCAAAAGCTGGCTGAATGGAAGTCCTACCACTAGAGAAGAAAAGAAAGGACATTGAGACTAGTGGGGGGGGGGGGGGGGGGGGTGAAGCAGAGCTGCAAAACAAGCTGGTCAGACACCCACATAGCCGTTTTTTTCATCAGGAGGAAGATCATCTCTGCAGAGGTCCCAGCCTCACACCAGACCTCCAGCCCATGGTTCCATAGCTGGGAAGAGAAAATTCCCATAACTAAGAGCTGTAAACACCAGTGGGGATTGTAGCTGAGTAACACAGAGGCTGCTGGAGACCAAGGTGTTTCTTCCAAAGGGCCGGAGCATGAACTTACTTGGACTCCATTCCTCTGAGCTCCTATGCTGGGCAGCTTTGAGGGACCCAGACATATATGGGGAGGACCTACCCTGTTTCCCCGAAAATAAGACAGTGTCTTATATTAATTTTTTCTCCCAAAGTTGCACTAGGTCTTATTTTCAGGGGATGTCTTATCTTTCCATGCGCTAGGTTTTATTTTCGGAGGATGACTTATTTTCGGGGAAACACGGTAGATTGTCTGGCAAGGGGCAGGAACTCAGGGACAGCTTTCTCACAGATGCAGAGGTAATTGTTCCAGTGTTGGGACCTCCCCTGCCACAGAGCTAACTGACAGAGGCTTATCTGAGTTTCCATCAGAGTGGCTCACACTGTTTGCTCCACCCTGGTGATTCCCTGAGACCCTGCCCCACCTAAGCTGATTGCAGCAGCTTTTCCATATGAATGGCCTATCTTGGCTCAGGCTTTAGACTTCCTAAAATCTCAAACAAGCTACAGCTGGTGTCAGTATGAACCAAACCTATCAATAAAAGGCCCAAAACATGGCACTAGCACCAGCATTCCCTACTTCATAGCTGGGTCTCACCTGGGCACTTCCTAGCCCAGTACAAATAGCAGCCTTCTGAAGATTTCTCTGTAGCTTTTGCAAGGTGACCCTAGGCAATGGCTGATTTTGTACCTCCCTGGAGACCAAAAAGAGCCAGTTCACCTGGTGGATAGCTTCAGACCATAGCAGGTTACAACTGTACACATCTATAAGCTACACACTCAAGGGGCAGCCTCAATGAGCACCAAAGCCCCAATGAAGCAAGGCCTACTTCATATGGTTTTTTCCTGCACAGCAGCTCTCCCACTATAGTCACAGCTGGTCCTCATAGCCAATTTGCTTGAAGGTCAATTCCTCCAAGTGACAACAACAATCAAGGCTCAACTACAAGACTGTGCACATGGCCCACACAGGGGTGCACCTAGAGTGCCCAGCTCAGATGACTGGGGAGGTTGAGATACATCAATTTGTTGCCACTGACTCCCATAGGCCACTTATTACACAAGGCCACTCTATCAATTCCAGGAGACATAACAGCTCTATTTAATACATAGAAACAAAGCACAGGGAAAACGTCAAAATGCGGAGACAAAGAAATATGTCACAAATGAAGCAAGCAAACTACTAGGTACAGAGTTCAAACCCATGGTTATAAGATTACTCAAGGATCTATATGAGAGTGTCAAGAGACTTCGTGAGACTTTCAAGTATCTTAGTGAGAATGCCAAAGACACAAAAAAGGACCAATCAGAAATTAAACACACTCACTGAAATAAAGAATAATTTACAGGGTTTCAACAATAGAGTAGAGGATTCTGAGAATCAAATCAATTATTTGGAATATGAGGAAGCAAAAAACACCCAATCAGAAGATGAGAAAGAAAAAAGAATAAAAAAATATGAAGAGCCTTAGCCAGTTTGGCTCAGTGGATAGAGCGTTAGCCTGAAGACCAAATGGTCCTAGGTTTGATTCTGGTCAAGGGCACATACCTTGGTTGCAGGCTCATCCAGTGCCCTGGTCAGGGTGAATGCAGGAGGCAACCAATTGATGTGTTTCTCTCACATTGATGTTTCTCCTTGTCTTTCTATTTCTTCAATTCTCTCTAAACAATCAATAGAAAAATATTCTTGGTTGAAAATTAACAATAACAACAACAAAAATATTTTTAAAAAATGAAGATAGCCGAAACCAGTTTGGCTCAGTGGTAGAGCGTCGGTCTGCGAACTGAAGGGTCCTGGGTTTGATACCGGTCAAGGGCATGTACATTGGTTGCGGGCACATCCCCGGTAGGGGGTGTGCAAGAGGCAGCTGGTTAATGTTTCTCTCTCATCGACGTTTCTAGCTCTTTATCTCTCTCCCTCCCTCTCTGTAAAAAATCAATAAAATATATTTAAAAAATAAATAAAATAAAAATGAAGATAGTGTAAGGAGCCTCTGGGACTTCAAGCATACCAACATCAGCATTATGGGGGTGCCAGAAACTAGAAGAGAGAGAGAGCAAGATATTGAAAATCTATCTGAAGAAATAATGACAAAAAAGTCCCTTACCTGGTGAAAGAAATAGACTTACAAGTCCAGAAAGCACAGAGAATCCCAAACAAAAGGAACCCAAAGAATTCCACACCAATACATAGAAGAATTAAAATGCCAAGGGTTAAAGACAAAGAGAGGATCTTAAAAGCAGCAAGAGAAAAGCAGTTTGTTACCTACAAGGGAGTACCCATACGACTGTCAGCTGATTTCTCAACAGAAACTTTGCAGGCCAGAAGGGAGTGGCAAGAAATATTCAAAATGATGAATAGCAATATTCAAAGTGCTGAATACAACCAAGATTACTCTACCCAGAAAAACTATCATTTAGAATTGAAGGTCAGAAAAAGAGCCTCACAATCAAGAAAAAGCTCAAGGAGTTCATCACCATTGAACTATTACATGAAATAAAGAATCAGAGGCATGTAAACATGGAATAGAATGAGGAATCTGAGAGGGAATGGAGGAAGAGGGGTGGGAAGAGATTAACCAAATATGTTACCTATGGACACAGACAATAAGGTGGTGGAGGTCTGAAGCAGGGCAGGATGGGAATCAGCTATAGGGAGAGGGAATGGAGAGGAAAGGGGGATATCTGTAATACTCTCAACAATAAAGATTAAAATAAACAAATAAACAAAATAGCACACTTGCAGCATGGTTTAATACTACTGTATTATAATATAAATAAAATATAATAAAAATATGTAATATATTAAAAATTTTAAATAAAATAAAATATAAAAATAAAATTTTAAATAAAATAAAATATAAAAAATATAAAATAAAAAAATATATAAATATATATAGAGAAACCAAGATGGCAGCATAGGATAGACACCTGAATGCAGTCTACCACAACAATTTTGAATTTAGAGTTGGAAAACAGGGGAATCATTGCCTTGAAGCGCCAGACAGCTGGCTGAGAGGAGGCTCTACCATCCAGGAAGAAGAGAGTAGGCACGCTGAGCCTCGAGAACTGTAAAGGTGCGGAGATCTGTGCTTGAGAAAAGGCGGCCACCAGAGTTCGCTGCTGGCTTACTCACGGAGCAAGGAGAGGGTGGGCTGAGTTCGCTATTGGCTTACTCCAGGCACACAGAGGGGCAGACAGCTAATATGCGGCTGGCTTTCTTGTTC